CCCCCCCCAAAAAAAACTGAATTCAATTCACCTATAAAATAAATAACCAATTATATTCCTTAGTAAAAGAAGTACAGCTAGTGACACAATAAAAGTGAAAAATAATGAGATTATGTTTGTGTTTGAAACAACACATGGTAATTGGGTTATTGGGCAGGCACTGCTGCTGATCTAATATGAGTACAATGGCTGGCAATTTCCAAATAGTATAGTCAATAGAAAAGTAGGTTATTGGGAAGACTAGCCCAAAGACCAGCCTCAGATACCACACATGACTCTGCAGTTTTGTCTCCGAGAAGTCTGAACACAGAAAAGAGAAAAGTACAGAAATTTGTGAAGATAATAGAGCTCTTGAGTCTTCTTCTTGGGTCATCATCCATTTCATCAAAGGAGATCTTGATCTCTTCCAATGAACAACAAACCAAGCTCAGCCACACCACCATCATCAAAGCCCACATGGGTCCTGCCCTACAAGACCCAAAACCTCACTGACCTCTACACTTTGGGCAGGGTACTTGGCCAGGGTCAGTTTGGCACCACCTACCTCTGCACTGAAAACTCCACAGGCCACCAATATGCCTGCAAATCCATCCCAAAGCGCAAGCTTCTTTGCATAGAGGACTATGAGGATGTGTGGAGGGAGATTCAGATGATGCACCACCTCTCTGAGCACCCCCATGTGGTGAGGATCAGAGGCACCTATGAGGACTCAGTCTCTGTGCACTTGGTGATGGAGCTGTGCAAAGGAGGAGAGCTTTTTGATAGGATTGTGAAGAAGGGTCAGTACAGTGAGAGAGAGGCTGCAAGGCTCTTGAAGACCATTGTTGGGGTTGTGGAAGCTTGCCATTCACTTGGGGTTATGCATAGAGATCTAAAGCCTGAGAATTTCTTGTTTGATAGTGAGGAGGAAGATGCTGCTCTTAAAGCCACAGACTTTGGCCTCTCTGTTTTCTACAAGCCAGGTGAGACCTTTTCTGATGTTGTTGGTAGTCCTTATTATGTTGCCCCTGAGGTGCTGAGAAAGCATTATGGACCAGAATCAGATGTGTGGAGTGCTGGAGTGATTTTGTACATTTTGTTAAGTGGGGTCCCTCCATTTTGGGCTGAAACTGAGATTGGGATTTTTAGGCAGATTTTGCAAGCAAGATTGGATTTTGAATCTGAACCATGGCCTGGGATTTCAGAAAGTGCTAAGGATCTGCTTAGGAAAATGCTTGAAAGAAACCCAAAGAAAAGGGTAACTGCCCATGAGGTTCTTTGCCATCCATGGATCATAGATGACACCATGGCTCCAGATAAGCCTCTTGATTCTGCAGTGCTTTCTAGGCTGAAGCAGTTCTCAGCCATGAACAAGCTCAAGAAGATGGCTTTAAGGGTCATAGCTGAGAGACTGTCTGAGGAAGAAATTGGTGGGTTGAAAGAGCTGTTCAAGATGATTGATGCAGATGACAGTGGAAGCATCACATTTGATGAACTCAAAGAGGGCTTAAGGAAAGTGGGATCTGAGCTTATGGAGTCGGAGATTAAGGATCTTATGGAGGCTGCTGACATTGACAACAGTGGAACAATTGACTATGGTGAGTTTCTTGCAGCCACAGTGCACTTGAACAAGTTGGAGAGGGAAGAGAATTTGTTATCAGCCTTCTCCTTTTTTGACAAAGATGGTAGTGGGTTCATAACCATTGATGAGCTCAGGCAAGCCTGCAGGGAGTTTGGATTAGGTGAGCTTCATCTTGACGACATGATCAAAGAAATTGATCAGGACAATGATGGGCAGATAGATTATGGAGAGTTTGCTGCAATGATGAGGAAGGGTAATGGAGGAGGCATTGGAAGGAGAACTATGAGAAGAACAATGAATTTGGGGGATGCTTTGGGGCTAGGACTTGCTGACAATGGGCTCCAACTAACTGATTAGAGTTCAATTAGGAGTGATCTCTTTTTTTGGTGATACAATCATATTTTCATGAATCATGGGGAGAAATCTATGGCGTAATCTTAATTTTCATCAATTACTAGCAAAAAGAAATTACTACCTATGGGTAGAGATTCAGATTGAAATCTTCCTGTAAGCAAAAATATTTTAGTTGGAATTACATTGTTTTCTTTTTTTCTTCTTATTTTTTTGGAGCACATATGAGGCCGAAAACCTGAATGGATTGAAGGGGGATATTCTCCAATAGATTTAATATGCAACATACATATAATCTAACGATTTGAGATTAAAAATATGTAACTAATTCTTAACATAAATTATTTATTGAAGAATTTTCCGCATTTTTAGGAGTTCAAAAATCAAACTTGCTGACGCCAAAAAGTGGTTCTTTGACTTAGAGGGTCAACTTAGTAAATTTGTGTCTTCGGTAGACTTGATGCTTCGGTAGGCTGTGCGATCTGCAATAAAAGCAAGCGCACGGTAAGACCTAAGGCACCGGTGTGGTACCGGCCGAAGGCTCTCCGATGCTTAAGTAAGTTCGGGAATAGAAAGTTCAACTGACAGATCAATAGGCTTGTGTGCCGTAAGTTCTGATTACCTCTATTTTGGGATAGTTGGCCTCCTTTTATAGCTCTTGGGAGGTGTGCATTTTGTTGATTATTTCGATGTGGGACTGTGGGCGTCGCTTGGGAGCGCGCCACATGTCTCCTTTTGATTATTTCGATGTGGGACTGTGGGCGTCGCTTGGGAGCGCGCCACGTGTCCCAGGAGAGGGCGTTGCCCTAATGGAGAGATCGGTAGGTAGGGTGCCGAGGGTACCTCTGACCAAGCCCAGTTTCCTCCACGTGTCTTGCTCTCATTGGCTGTTTAATTTGGGTGTAAACAAAACTTTCGTTGTAATTGTAGGGAACCGCGCTGACTTATGAGCTAGAGTGCTTGACCAAACAAATGCCTTCAAATTCTGGAATTTGTGCCGAATTCTCTCTGGGGAAGGTGTGGGCTTTTAGTATAGCGCAAGGCAGATTCTGTGTCCTGTCTTAGCCCAATGCCGAATAGATTTGGTTCTTTTTGTGGGGTATGAATGTAGGCAGGCATCTCTCTCTTGTTTTAGCCCAACACCACAATGACAACTTACTATCACACCATCAAATTTTTGTGGTGGTTGGGGGGAGAGCTTTAAAATGCATTATGTGATCAATACAACCATAAAAAGAAGCATCTTTCAAGAAAGTTGGTGCTTAAGAACATTCATCCTTATAATCCATTGACCTAAAAAAGAGAGCATGATTGTTGTTAATTTGGTGTGGTCTTCTTGTATCTGTGCAAATGTTTTAATATTTGTTAATCTGAGCTTACCCATAAAACTGATCATGCTGCAGTAAGTAACAGAGACGGAAGTAGCCTCTCGTTGGCCCAATTTTAGATCATTTTCTCAAATCGTATTACTGTCAAAAGTGAGTGACTATCTGATTATCTGAATCGTATAATCGTATTTCTTCAAATTTCTTTATTTAATTTCGGGCCACTTTGGGTTGGAGATGATCTAATAGCCAAATAGACTTGAAATTTGTTTTAATAAACGTAGGATGAGGGATTCAACCTTAGAATTTCTTAGAATATTGAGAAGAGAAATACCACTAAATTAAACTAAAAACTACTTGATGAACTAAACACTTTTCTATGATCATTACAATAACTCTCTGTTTGGATGAGGGAAAATAATTCAAAATTTAGCTAAAAATCAAGAATTTAAAAGGAGAAATTGACGCAACTTAAGCTTGGAATTTATTAAATGATGTGAGGAAAAAAAGGGGGAAATTGGGGCATAAAATTCCCGAGTTTAATTTCCATCAAAATAGGCATTAATTTCACAATTTTCATAGTACCATTTACAAAATTCAACATACATAAATCAAACATTAAAATCTTCAATTGCCAAAAATTGAAATGATGAAATTTAAATTCCGTCATTTAGAATTCTATGTAATTTCAATTACTTCAGCATACCGAGGGTAGAGTCTAACTAATGAAAAAAGCTGACTTTCTTTGTTTTTCCTTTTTTTGGATGTTCATAAACACTACATGTTACGTAGTGATAGCCATGCAATAATTTTTCATTTTTCTTGCAAAAGATTTTCATATAATTGGGCTAAGTGGATTCTCTCTCCCCAAACCAAAATGGCACATGAGTAAATTTGCCAGAAACAGAACCCAATTCCAAGCAGTGGGCCGTCTACCGTTTTTCAGGCCAATTGAGTACCAAGTTGTGACAGCAATCGTGGTTGTGGTGTGGGACCCAGTCTCAGTTTCATCTCACAATAGGTTTCGTTGACGTCAAAAAAGGCTTTGAAAAACAGTGAAAAACAGAACCTTCTGGATTCACAATCTGCATAAATATCTACCCGGCCATGCAATCTCAGCCGTCCATCAGGACTTCTAAATAAAAGATCGTCTTTTAATTGATTAGAATAAAAATCACAAATAACCTATTTAAATGGGGCTGGTTTCTGGAGTGTTCTTGCACCTATTGTGTATGGTTACGGGAGGCTGCTGATATTTCTTTTTTCCTTCCGTCTTCTCCTTTCCCAAGCCTAAAATCATGCTAAGGTTCCGTGTTCCAATCCAAAAAGATGTAGGCCAAGTGTTGTAACATACGACTTCTTCTTCTTCTTCTCCTTTGTGTCTGTTTGTGTGTTCGTGTTCTGTTTTAGCTTTTCGGGTCCTATAATTTGTCGACAAGAACCAAAAAACAGAAATTAAGAGCGTTGTTGGGTTTGGGTTTGATTTCGAGGAGTTGAAGAAGAATGGCTAATGGGGAAGAGAAAGGCGGTGACGACTTCTACGCAGTTCTGGGGTTGAAAAAGGAATGCACAGGCTCGGAGCTCAGAAAAGCCTATAAGAAACTTGCACTGGTTAGAGTTTTTAACCATTTCTGCTAAATTGAACCTTTTGTTTTTTTACAATTCATTCAAATGGGTCTTCTTAAAATTGAAATCCAGAGCTAAAGAACTAGTCTTTTCCTTCATTTAACTTCTGGGTTTTTGACAAATCATTGAAAAAATTGACCTTTCTTCTATTGTTTGTTGTTCACTACTGGTTCTAAGCATCACTGGGTCCTTCAATGAAACTTATGGGAAATGGGTTTCCCAAAAGAAATTGAAGTTGAAGCATTTAAATCCCGGGAATGGTTTTTCAGTGAATGATCAAACAGGTTAGAGAGATTGAAAAAGCATTGAGATTGCTGGGATTGAAGGGAAATCCAGGGAATTGTGTGTTTTTTTTTTCCTTTATTTTATTGTACGTTGCAGTTAATTTTATGTCTTTGTTTGTTGCTATAGAGATGGCATCCAGATCGTTGTTCAGCCCCCGGGAATTCTAAGTTTGTGGAAGAAGCCAAGAAGAAATTCCAAGACATTCAACAAGCCTATTCTGGTAATTCCACCCTCTCAATCGCATGTTGATTATTATTTTATTAGTATTTTGAGTAAATTGGTCACGAGGCGCATGTGCTCTGTTTTGGTAAACAGTTCTATCTGACGCGAATAAGAGGTTTCTGTACGATGTAGGAGCCTATGACAGTGAGGATGATGACGAAAATAATGTAAGCTTTCTTTGTGTTAGAGGTCCTCTGTGTGTAGAATTTATTGCTTCTCTTTTACCTCTAGCTTTTCAGTTAAACCAGTCCCACTGGTTTCTAATGATTATTGGAAACATGTTGTCGGTGCAGGGAATGGGTGAGTTTTTGGACGAGATGGCAATGATGATGAGCCAAACGAAGCCTAATGTATGCTTCAAATTCACTCACCTTTCTTCGTTTTTAATTTAAGTATTTGCACCTCTTTTTCGTATACATGTTTTAAACATGTTGAAGCAAGCAAGCCAAGAAAAAATGGGATGGAATTGCGTTCGGCTTTTTGGGAAAACCTACGTTGTTGGTTTACTTATGCTTTTTTTATTAAGGCCTTTACTTTTGCTACGCCACTTGAGAAGAGTCATAATGGAGTTATTTTAGAATTAGAACCGACAGTTGATGGGCCACTTAAGGGTGAATAGTTCTATCTAAATAGATAGGCCCAATGACTTGATGTTTTTATGGTGATATGATCGCTTGTATTCAAATATTAGGAAGTCCGGGGTGACCATAGGATGGTTTAGCTAACAAACCTAAGATAATCTCTGTGGGCCCACCTAGACCATGATGCAATTTAATTTGTTTAACTACAAAGAAGAGGAGACCAAGATTAAGGGAAGGGATGAGATGAGACTATTGATTGGTAAATAGATGGTTATGAGACGATTTGTTCTGTGTGCAAATGCACAAACTTGCATTGGGTGTTTAGCGCATATTTGTAAGTGTCAGTCGCCATGTGCACATGAACAACTGTGAGCTGTTGATTGGTGTGAGACTCACCGTGAGGTCCACGTACATTTGTGGCGAGGCTTAGTGGGCTAGTAACTCTGACAAAAATAGTAGGACATAGAGAAGAATGCTGACTGTTGTGGATTGGTTATGGGGTCTAACTATTTTGAATTTGTGTGCACTAGTCATATTCAGCCATGCAGTATGTTTAAGAGCTTACTTTGATGATATTGCATGTTTCCTTCTTTCATCTTTCATCTTTCATCTTTCATCTTTTTTACTGGGTTTTAATGAAATTTCTGAGCTGAGCATTTTAATTGTAATCATAAGTCTCTCTGGTTGCATTTGGAATAATCATGATGATAGTGTTTCCGAGTACTACTGAAATCTGGAGATTGCGTAATTCACAGGAAAATGGGAAGGAGAGCTTTGAAGAACTACAAAATCTCTTTGATGAAATGTTTCAAGGGGATCTTGGGAGTTTTGGCTCTGGCCCTCAGCCTGCTACTTCCTGTTCTACTTCCTGTTCTGCTTCTTCATATGTATCGTATTGTGAAAGTTCTGGTTCCAATAACAAGCGTAATTCCTCTGAAATGAATTATGAGAAGGCAACCTTGGAAGATTTTTCTGGCTTCGACACTCATTTTCAGAGTTTTTGTTTCGGGGTCAGTTCCCTCCTCTTTATGCTTCTCAATGCTTTTAGCTTTTTGTGTTTTTAATATGATGCATATGAGATGAGTGTTTGATTTTTCCATGAGACCGAAGACAGGGCAATGTGAGACTCTTATACCAATAAGTCTACAAACCTCCTATACCATAAACCTATTATTTAAATAAGTCATGACCCCATTGCAATGTGGAACTATTATGTGGCTCTTTTAGTGAAGGCATTGCAATGGGAGGCTCGCATTCAATATTCTGTGCTGCTTATAATGTACAAGGCACCGGAATTTAGTCTTGGGTATGGGCTTGCTTTGAAGTCTTAGACAGTTGATGAATCTATTTATCATTAAAGTTAGTTACCAAAGGAATCCAATAACTCAACAGAGTTTGTGCCAAGTTTGATCCTTATAGACGCTACCTTATTGACAACAATGTGCCATAAGTGTCTTAATGTTTTGTGTGTCCTTTGTCAACTTTTTAAGGCAGTGTCTTTTTAACTAAATTACAATTGAGGCAAACAATTGGACTATGAACAAAATCATTAAGGTATGAAAACACATATGGTAAGTGTGTGTTTGTCTCTTTGCATTATAAGTATGCTGCTATTGCCGCTTCTTTGCTTCTTTCCTCCTCTCTTTTAGCGCTAGTTCTTATCATGTACAAGCCTCATATTGTTGGTTTGTTTGGGATTGATGCTATGAAGACAGGTGGAAAGCCGGCAAGACATCGGGAAGGGGACAGCAGCAAGAGAAAGGATTCAAGGAGAAGCCATCGGTAAACGAAGGCATGGCAGGAAACAAAAGGTTACATCTGGGCATGATGTTTCCTCAAATGATTATTCTGGTATATCAGCTAGATAATGTTATTGATTCAGTTAGTCATGAACTGTTGGGGACTTAGTTGGCAAAATTTTAGATCACCTTAGGTTTAGCAGGGGGTTGAGCCTCATTGTGGCATTCCTTCCATGACATGATATTCAATGGCAATGGCATTGTCTCAAAGTCTTGAATTGTAATTCACTCATTCTCCGAATCTCATGTCATTACTTCTTCATGTTAGTTGATGGGATTTCATTATTTACAATGACTTGCTTGCCAAGGAACAATAATAAAGAAAATACCTTGAAATATATATGGGATGTGTTGCTTTATCGATAAAAGTATTTGTTCACAGCAAGCATTCAAATCTTGTTTGAGTAACAAGCAATTTAAGTGATTGCATTGAATTTGTTGAATGGTTGGCCTATCTAAAGATTTAGGTTTTCAAATATCCTCCACCAACCGACCATGAGGCTGCATATATGCCTACCAAACAAAGGAGGCTAATCCTTCAATGGCAGAATTGTAGTTTTGTTACTTTTTATGGGCCAAGTTTTAGTATGTTGACGGTGAAGACCCCACAGCACGTGGGTGAAGGCCCCACATGTGTGTGATCCTAAAACCCTACGCCTAGGAAAAGCCTCATTCGTCTGCTTTATGTTTTGTGATGGCGAAGGCAATGCAATTTGGACCCACTAATTCCAGCAAATTTTTGCCCATCCAATTCTAGACTATAAACCTTTTTTGTTGTAGGGACCCAAAAGCCCCATGCAAGTTGCCAAAATTTCAATCCGTCCATCCAAAACAGATGGTCGCCTGTCTTTTTCGACATTTTCATCACTAAGCAAGTGTTTAAAACACAAGTTGGGCAAAGCGTGTTGAAAGTGGAGAAAGCCAAAAAAAAATCAAAAGGGATGTGAAAAATGATGTATAGGAACACCAAGTCATGCTCTTTACTACTATATTGTGGGTGGTTAGTGGTGACATTAAGTTGACATAGCATAAGATCAAGATCTTGATTAGGCCTGGTAGATCACCTTGATCATCCTGATTTAGAAAATCTAATTATATTATTACTTGTTTTGCCTGCCATAATCTCCATTAGCAAAAGCCAGCTTGTGCTCGCTCTAGAAGCTACACACAACTTGCATTTTTATTTATTTTATGAATGTTATTGCACTTTTGGAGAGGTTTTTTTTTTTTTGGTCTGAATTACGAGGTGGTCCAGGATAGAGGTTTTTTTTTAATTTATGAATCAACTTGCACTTTTCTTTCTGATTGTCCGTCTAGTGGATGTGCTTATACAGTCATTGATAGTTGCTACATTTTGTATTTAAATTATGATATTATTGTATAGTTGTGTTTGGAAAGTATTATGGTCAAAGTTGGATCCTTGATGGCCAATGTGGAAAATATCAAGACTATAATTGTTGACCTTTTGTAATCCAGGGTGCAAGTTGGATATGAAGATTCTGAATCCAGTACGAAATATCCAATTTTGGCACATTCAAATTGAATCCAACATTTGAAAATTTCCAAAAAAATTTTTTTGATAAAATCTGGACGAGGACGGGAATGGATCTTAAAATTATGAATTTTGAAATATATTGGGGTTTCGATTTTGAACCACACAAAATGACTAACTTTATGGTGAAATGAATGAGAAGTAATGATCAAAGAAATATATACGAGTAGAAAAGCATCACATCTAAAATCGGGTAGTTATCTCTAAATCCTAGCCTCCTTTCTTTCTCTCAAACCTCTTTTGCTATGTTTTGAGGAGGGGGGAGGAGGTCACTCTTCCTCCTCTCTCCCTCTCTTTAATTGTGGAGTGGTTATGGTTGGTGTTTTAGTTGTAAGGTGACTGGCCGTATTCTCAGTGGTGTTCTTATCTGTCTCTAAGGTGGCAATGATGTCTGTTGTAGCGGTTTTTGATTGCAATGTGTTCTTATTCGTAGTGGCTCTGTTAGTTTTTGGTTATTTGTTTGCAGTTTTCTTATTTTGTAATAATTGCATCAACTCCTTCTGAGTTGGGTGTTTGATTGTTTTCTAGTCTCTACTTTTATTTTGTACTTGTGAAAGTTAAAAGTTATAGTTGTATTTGTAGATTTGGGCATTATGATTCACGTTTGATTTGTTCAGACATGCGGCTTTAATGCCGAAATTTCTTTGGCCTTTTATGGCATGTATTTGGATTAACCCTATGTGGTTACTATTCGAGTGCTGCTAAATGAACCCTAAAATTAACTGAGTACACCCTATGATCTAAGTGCACCATAATATTTAAATTAAAATGTAAAATTAACTAAGTACACTCTATTTAACTATCAAAAATACCCATAGTACACCCTAATACACTCTATCTTGCCAAAAAAAAAAAACCAACAACATTCATCGATCTCCCTATGATCCCTTTTTCTCAATGCTTTGATTCTCAAAAATTTTAACTGTACAATCTGGACAATATTGTTCTTTTTTATATATCCTAAATCTAACTAATGATACAAAAACGTTCTCATAATTTTTTATTTATTTAATGAATCCAATATCTAAAACCAAAAAACAACTCTGATTGTCTTCTTAGTCAGGGGTTGACAAGGTTAGGCTATCTGTAGTCTCCGTCTTTTTTTCAATGAAATCTTTGATTCATGACCACCCAAAAAAAAACAAACTGATTGCCTTGCTTGCTGATATAAGCCCCAATATGATTGATGTGGCTACTTTTGAGGAGGGAAATTGGAGAAAACAAGTTTTTACAAGGAGCTTCAAATATTTTAGGGAATTTTCTGAATTGAAAGATGAGAAAAATGAAAAAATTATAAGTTTGGAGAAGAAGAGTGATTGAAAGGAGAAGAGGCTCTGCTAGGCTTGGTTTTGAGAGATAAAAGAGTTCGGCTGTCCAAATGCTAAGATGGAGAAGAAGAGAAGTGTAGGGAAAAATATGTGGTGTCATGTTTTAGATGGTTTTTAAAAAGTGCTGCTAAACGAACCCTAAAATTAACTGAGTACACCCTATGATCTAAGTACACCCTAAAAATATGTGGTGTCATGTTTCACAATTCAATATATCCTTTTTAGTCATTTTATATTAGGGTAAATTAGTAATCCAAAAAATACTTTGATAGTAGGGTGTACTTAGTTAATTTTAGGGTTCGTTTAGCAGCACTCTACTATTCTTTCATATTTGTATTACCCCTTTATGGGCATTTGTATTTGTCCTTGTGATTGATAATTTTTGTGTCTAGTTTATAAATACAATTATCGCCTACCTCTCAAAAAGAAATATAGACGAGTTGTTGCATGAATAGCACTAGTATATTATAGTTTGTTTAAGCTTTTCAATATTCAGTCCATTTTCACATTTAAAATCATTGGGCATATTCAAAATTGAGAAATATGATGAATTAATTTCCAATCATGGTCGTTGTGGACTCTAAAAAAAATCCAAAAGTTTCAAGTTTTCCAAATTTAAAATGTGAAGTTTTCCGGGAAAAAAAAAAAAAAAGGAAGAAAATATTCATTCCAAAGAAAAAACTTTGGGTTGGACTTGGATCTTCTGATCCCAAGCCCATCCGTTTCAAATCGAACGTGAGTAAAGTCGGTTGAGTCTCATTCCAACTCTTAAACATTCATCAAGGCCCGCAATTTTTTGTACTTTTGACTGATTCTATATTGGGAAGAATTTCTAACACTCAGATTTAAAAAAATTAAAAAAATTAAAAATTATCCAAATTATAAAGGCTGTCCTAACTTATGGTAAAAACAACCTTGATCGTGCAAACTAAACCTTGACCATTAACCTAGTGTTATTACTTGTTTTCATCTTTTCATCTTTTCATCCTATTTAACAAACTTCGTAACCACATATGTTTTTGGAATTTCGTCCTATTTAACAAACTATGTAACCACATCGTTTCATCCTATTTAACAAACTCTGTAACCTAGTGTTGATTGGAATTTCGTTTTTTATTTAACAAACTTTGTTTCTTATTTAGTGATTTTATTAAACTTTTTCCATCGGGCAGAGCCACATACAGGCCTACTATTGCCGTGGCCCCCCAAACTCCATGAAATACCTATTATTTCTTAAGCAGCTACTGCAATATCAGTTAAAATATAACTTTATATAACCTTGAAACTATAGTACTGAGGTTGGGAGACTATTGGCGGGTTAGTTGGTTTTGGAAAATTCAACATATCAGTTCGAGTTGTTGGCATCAACTATTCCGTTATCATGTCATCTTTCGGCTCAGAGAGTAGTTTTTCTTTCTTTGTCAGCCTTAATTTGGTTCATTGTGTCACGGGCCTCGTTACTAGTTTAGCCCAAGTCTCCAAGTTTTGATTGGAATTTGGATGTCGTTGTTGAGGAGCAGGTCGCTTGCTGCTAAATACATTATTTTACGAAATTTTGATCTTTTGTGCTTTGTGATTAGAATTATGATATTGCTTGCCTCCTTGTTTGTAAGAAGATACTCCATCTTCATTCGAATCATAGTTTGACACATATGCAAAAATAATTCATCAAAAACACAAAAAGAAAAACATAAGCATACATGTCACACTACTATTGGCTTTTACTCCTAATAGTCACATTTGGATTATAAATTAACCATTCCGACTCTCCATTTTACATCTTATGATATTTTGTTAATAACGTATCACAAATATTAAAAGTTGATATGTGATTGTTTTGGTCCTCCAATTTTAGAAACATTGATGATATTTTCTTTCATTGTCATAGCACTACCTAAACCAACCAAACTGAATTATTGGAAACAATCATCTAATTTGAACTACAAAGCCATAGGCTGTATGTTGTCTTCAAGTCTTTGTGGTTACTTTAGTTAGTCTTTGTGTGGGGGCTAACAAAAATCAGAGGGATCGAAGTCACTGGGGCCATTTTGACACTAACATGATACTTAATGGTGGAATCTCAACCAATCCATTTTTCTCTCCCAGAAGAAAGGAACAATACGTTTTGATTAGCTTATGGCAACCTAATTTTGGGTGATTAAACAATTGACTTTAGACCTATAAACGGACTATCATGAGATTGATATTTTCAAGCAATATTAATTTGTTGCCGCATCATTGAATTGGTCTGTAATCGATCAATTGATCATGACCAAAGAAATAGATCAATTTAGAGGTTATTTTATCGATTAATTTAATCACGTGATGAGAGAGATAGAGAATCGGATAATTGGATGAAGGAATTGAAAATCATCGATTAATTTTTTCAAGCGTCATTTAATAAATTCCACCCTTAAGTTGCCAAACAAGGGAATTGTCAATTTCTTCTCGGAAATTT